ACGGGTACGGGTACGGGGCGGGTAAGTACATACCCGTACCCGTACCCGATTCAATATATCGCGTTTTACCCGTACCCGTACCTGTACCCGGTCAAACCGGGTATTCCCCGTCAAAGTCAGGACGGGTTCGGGTATTACCCACGAGTACGGGTATATTTGCCATCCCTAATAACTACAAATGTTATAACAGAATTGCCACTTACACATGGAAGTGAATTTCGTCAGATCTACTACCTTATCTTCTTGTTTTTAATTTCCCCTTTATGATCTTATGATATTATATAAATTATGTTTAAAATTATGTATATTTTTATTGATGAGAATAATAAAATATTAGTTCCTTTATTTTTTTTTTTGAAATCTTGCATAGCTATTTAAATTTCTATATTACTATAACTTTATTTTATTTTATGTATTTGGTTAACTTATACAACACGAGTTCTTCCAATCAATTTAATTAAATGCCTTTTTTTTTCTTTTTCTTATTATGGTAAGAAATGATTAGAGTATATAAGTAAAAAAATGATTTTAATTTTATAAATCGATTGATAGAAGTTAAATTAAATTTAAATTCAGCACGTAGGAAGATAAGTTGATTTTATTTTTTATTGTTACTGGATATTTCACTTAGTCATCATTTGAGATGTATCATTCCAGTGAATATAGAAAGTGAAGGGAAGAAAGCACATAAAATTTTTACTCCACAAAAGTATGCCCGAGTAATTCGCGGTTTGTAAAGAAGGCAGTTCGATTAACATTCGAAGGCCTTAGCGTCTTTGGATTGGGTGTCACTGCAGGTACGTGGTTCTCTCTTCAATCACTTCTAATTATCACTACTAAAATATCCCTTATTACATACGACTTTTTTTACGAATTTTGTATGAAAATCTGCAATAAACACTATTTCTATGAATTTTTTACGAAATTTTATCTGCAAATAATACCTTCATAGATAATATATTTTTGCGAATTTTAAAATTCACAAGAAATATTTCTGTAAAATTTCTAGCGAAAAAAATTCGTAGGAATGTTTCCTGCAAAAAAAAAATCAAAGAAAAAAATTCGCAGGAAATTTTTCTGAAAAAAAAATCAAAGGAAAATTTCCTGTAAAAAAAATTCGCAAGAAAGTTTCCTGCAAAAAAAAAGAAAGCGCAAGAAATTCTACAGGAATATTTTTTAAGAAAAAAAATCAAAGAAATTACTATAAGTTCTATCAATAATTCTTCAACTTATGAATTCATTCGAAACATTTGTTTCCACGTCTTCAACATTTGATACATAATCTTTTAATCTCTAAAAATGTATATTATAAGCGTAACACTCAACCATACAAATCAACTTGTAAGGTAAGTGTTACCCCAACTTATATACTCTTTAATTATTTTATTTTTAATCGATGTGAGACTTAAAGTTTTTTTTTAAATATTAAACTTATAAATTTAAATATTTTTTTGATTTTTCCAGGGCATTAAAATTGGTAGAAAAATCCATAAGAAAAGTTACCTGCGAAATTTTTTTACTATTTAGTAAATATTACTTACGAATTTATTTTTGCAAGAAAATCTGCAAGAAACAAAATAAAATTCTTACATTATTTTCTACAAATTTTTACCATGAAAAAAAAATTCTATGATCATTAAAATTGTAGCAAAATTTGTAAAAATTTCTTGTAGATTATTTGTCATAAAAAAATTGTAACAAATACTTGTAAATTATTTTTTACAAATAAATTCGTAAAAAAATTTATGAAATTATTATTACAAGAAAATTCGTAAAAAAAATTATACAAATATTTTTTTAAAAAATTTTTTACAAAAAATGACATTTTTCTAGTAATTTATTCTTATTTAATATTTTTACAATACTTTCCATAATATATATTCTTCATTCATTTCATTAATCTTAATATGTTATCTCACATTTTGTGATCATTATTTTAATTTAGTGGGTGTAACATTATATTTTCTTAATATGTATGATGCTTAGTATAATGGGTTTAATTAAGTTACATACAATTGGTTTTGCTTCGTGCATGTATATATACTTGATTCAACTTCGAAGACTTGAAAGCAATAAAGAAGATAAAGCAGAAGCACAGATGGGGTCGTCAGCTCTTAGATAATTTTATGGACACACTGCCTGAATCGTATATGGCAAATAATTTTATGGACACACCGTCTGAATCGTATATGGGAAATAGTGGAGGTCAACCATTTATGACATCTGACGTTGGAGGAAACAAACAGGATCAACCCTTAATTACACAACAACAGTCACAAAGTAAGCAATAAACATAATTTGATAGATTAATACACTAATTTATGTTGATGGTGGATACGCGCGTAAGATAATATATATATATATATATATACGCCACCAGCCGGCCTCATCAACTAACCTCCCTTGTGTTGGTGAGCATAAGACAAGAGAAGAAGGAATCCCTTCGGACCTTCATGAGCCGATTCAACAAAGCGGCATTGGAGATACGAGACCTGAACCCAGCCGTCGCCCTCCACCATCTGACCACTGCTTTGAAGCCGGGACCATTTGCTAACAATATCTGTAAGAAACCCCCGTCTGACATAGATAACTTGCGTCGGCGAGCCGACAAGTACATGCAAATGGAAGAACTCGCAGAGTTTCGCAATTAAGCCAGGGCCGAGGTAGCAACCAAGGTAGAGAAGCTAGCCGAAAACTCTTACTGCGGCCGTCCCAAGGATCTCGTACCCCGAGAAAAACCTACTCGCGGGCCAAGATATTCTCATTACACTCCACTGAACGCTAGCCGATCGGCTG